GGGATCGTTCTAACCTTACATAGTGTAAAGACTGCAAATAAACCAGTGGTTACACTATACTACAGTATGATTTATTTTGCTGGGATAAAAATGAGATTTTCCTATACTTTAAATCGTTTGGCTTCTATCCCTCATAGGTAGAATAACCCAGCTAACATTTTCAAATTATGAATGCATTTTTATTTATCTTAAGCGTTTGTTTCATGCCTGCGAAATCTGTCATGGTTTATAGAGTAATCGCTAGGACATGTTGAATCTGGTCCGATGTTTTTATTCCATTTTCAACTTTTGTAGTTCTCTGTATTCCATATCCTAATACAGACAGGCGTTTACTTTACAATTTGTTAATGGCTTTCCTATTATTGTCATTTATTTGCCCATAACCTAATCGCTACTTATGCTTTATTTGTTTTCCTTTTCTCATTGTTCACCTTTATCCAAGTGAATATACATTTTCACGGACTTACTATTCGTTAGTTTAAAATTTGTAACATGGTTGGTTGGTTATCTAATTCTCAAATTTCCATTTTAGATGCGTGTTGTCGTGCAAGATATCCTTATGGCAGATAGGTATCCCATGTCGGACGATGAGGATGAGGATGCCGATCAGTTACTTGGTGCCCCTACGAACAATGCTTCTCTAAATGGACAAAATTTCACAGAGGCTGTGGATCCTGTTTCTTATCGCGAAAAAGATTCTGGATCCAGCTTTGTTTCCAATAGGCGTAAGGGAACAAGTGGCCGGCGGGAGGCTGCAGACGATCTCCCTCAAGACATTACAGGTCACCTGGAAGGGAGTCCTGGAAAATTTGTCGTTCGGAGTGACAAAGGCAGTCGTGTAGACAGACTGGCGGGCAATTTCAAGGCTAAGGCTAATACTGATACTATGGAGGATTCTCTGGTTCAATCCAGTTTGTCTTCCTTTCCTGAGGAGGAGTATTATACTGTGCTTTTTGGTAACAACAACTGGTAGGTTGACTTCTATATTGTTTTATTTATTATATGCTACAACATATGTATTTGACCATTTGCTTCATGGGTCCATCTCATAGGACTGCGAAACAT